TGTTCTCAAAAGCATCATTCATTTTTTATCTAATTGGTCTGTTTTCTTACTGAACAATTTGTCAGTAATAATGTTGGTTCAATAAAATTATTTGTTTATAAAAAAATGTTGATTTTTTTAAAGTTAGTTTAGCTAAAACTATAGTTTTCCCCAAAAACATTTTTTATTCAATTTTGTTTATAGTTTTTTAAAGTCAATGGTTACAATTTTCTGAATAAACCAACCCAGGCAAGAGAAGTAAATAATATAACTAGTTGTCCTTTTTCCAAGGTTTATGAACATTTAGTTTTTTCTCAAAATGTTGGTCATTTTCATCAGCATCCCCCCCCCTGATTTTCTTCAGAAACTCTCAAATTTTCACTGGATACCATTGGATCATACAGGGTGTCCCAAAAAATATTAATTAAGGATATTTACATCTTTAAAGACCCCATGAACACAAAAAACTTGCCAAAGTTCACAATGACACAGAAATTGTATTTTCCGCCACAAAATGTACTTTCATGTCCAATCCCATAAGGCTCAGAGATGAAATTATATAGACCCCTTCACAGTGAGGTGAAAGTGGACATTGGTCTGACTAAATTAAATAAAAAGGGGCATTGGTCCACATTTTACAGCAAAATAACAAATAATATAAACTAATATTTATTAAATTTAAATGTTTTTCTATTCTTTTAAAGTTTTTAAACCTAAGCTATTATTGTGTCATGAATTTGAAGAATGTTATATCTTAAAAGGGCAAATCCACTTAAAATGGTTACGGCTATGTCTCAGCCTTTACCAATTGATTTTTTTTAAATGGTAGGATTTATTTTGTTTAACATGACAACGACTAATAAAGATTTTTTTTATGAATGTCGTCTTAAATCTAGCAAAAAAATAACGATTTATAAAATAATTGTTAACAATTTCTTTTCAATAAGAAGTAACTTATTTGTAAATAAACATTTTTAAACTTAACTTTGCCATTTGATCAGAACAAGCCTAACTGCAAAACACCTTTATAGATACCACACTGAGACTTGAGGGAAGCAGTTTGTTGATCAAATTTTTACTGTTGAAAAAAAAACTAGTTTTGCTGAAATATCAATGGCAATCATTCAACACCATTAACAAAACTTCCAAAACTCCAATACTTAAATAAATACTTACATACTTCAAATCAAACATTACTTTTTTTTAAACAAATATTTATCTATCTGAGAGGTTTTTCATTAGAAAGCCAAGGGTTTCTCAAAAACAAAGTAACAATATATCCATAAAATCCTTAATTAAATTACATGGTTTCTAAAGATGTTCAATACTAATGTTCCAATATTGAAGGGAATATAACTATAGTTTTTAATTAAGCAAACATATGTATTTTTGTTTAGATATAAAAAAAATATTCTAACAGAAAATATTAAATTCCACGATTCTAAAGGGTGTCCTATTTCTCTTGGCATTCCCCCTTCCCCCCCTCAGGATTAAATACTCGCTCTACTTCAAATAAAAGATTAACTCCATCTATTTTTCTTCCTCCTTATTGCACTAATCTCATCCCCCTTCATCCAGGGGGGTCTCCTGGATGCCCCGTGAGATAGGTTCGGTACATTTAAGAGAATAAGAATAATGAGGGGAACACGGTTGGATTAATATATTAAATTCTTCAAAAAGAAGACTAATTGATAGTAAGGAAGTAATAGTTTGAAGTTTACACTGCAAAGCCTTTCTTAATTAATGTGTTTCCTTTTTTGATGTGTTTTTAAATGACAGGATAGAGTTGCAACATATTCACACTGATCACAGGGATATCTCACTCCTTCATGAATATTTTCAATATGTATCTTCAGCCTACTGGTTGTAGTTGCAGCGTATTTGCATATTTGGATATCTCACCCCTTCATGTTTATTTTTAACATGTCTATTCAGAACAAATACTGTTTTGGCAGTATACTCACATTGGTCGCATTGATATCTTACTCCTTTATGCTTAGATTCAATATGTAACTTGAGACGCTGTACACTAGCAGCAATGTATTCACATTGATCACAGGGATATCTCACTCCTTCATGTTTTTTTTGGATATGAATCTTCAGATAACTTGCTGTAATGGCAGCATACTCACATTGATCGCATGGATATCTTACTCCTTCATATTTAGATTCAATGTGCACCTTCAGACTCTGTACTTCAGAAGCAACGTATTCACACAGATCGCAAGGATATCTCACTCCTTGATGTTTTTTTTCAGTGTGTTTTTTCAGATTACTTGGATGAGTTGCAGCATACATACACTGGCCACAAGGATATCTAACCCCTTGGTGCTTACTCTCAATGTGTACCTTCAGATTTATTGCTTTGTTGGCCACGTAGTTGCACAGGTCACGGGGATATCTCACTCCTTCATGTTTAGATTCAATGTGTAGCTTCAGACTGTGTGCACTAGTAAAAACGTGTTCACACTGATCACAGGGATACCTCACTCCTTCATGCTTACTTTCAATATGTTTCTTCAGATTACCCTCTGTAGTTGCAGTGTACTCACATTGATCACAGGGATACCTCACTCCTTCATGCTTACTTTCAATATGTTTCTTCAGATTACCTGCTGTAGTGGCAGCGTACTCACATTGATCACATGTATACCTAACTCCTTCGTGTTTAGATTCAATGTGTAACTTTAGACTCTGTACACCAGTAGCAAAGTAATCACATTGATTGCAAGGATATCTCACTCCTTCATGTTTATTTTTTATATGAATCTTTAGATATTTTTGGTCAGTTGCAGCGTATTCACATTGGTTGCAAGGATATCTTACTCCTTCATGTTTAGATTTAATGTGTAACTCCAGACGCTGTACACCAGTTGCAGTGTATTCACACTGATTACAGGGATACCTTACTCCTTCATGCTTATTTTCAATATGTTTCTTCAGACTACATGGTTCAGTTGCAGCATATTTGAATTGATCGCAAGGATATCTCACTCCTTCATGCTTATTTTTAATATGTCTCTGTAGTGGCAGCGTATTCACAATGAGAACAAGGATATTTAACTCCTTCATGTTTACTTCGAATATGTGTCTTCAAATGACCTGATTGAGTTGCCACATAATCACATTTTCTACAGGGATAACTGATATCTCTTATATCTGCCAGCTTCCTCTTTTTTAGTCTCTTTTGTTCAGAGACAAGGGGATCTTCTTCAATCTTGACAATTTCACCTGAAAAATTCAAGAAGAGAATTAATAAAATATTAAACTAACCTAAAGTATCTCACACGGTTTAAAATTTTTAATAATATCTGTAAATAAAGTTAATTGTGATTTATGAGCCCAAAGTTCTAAAAAAAGGAAGAAATTGATTATCCTAAAAATGATCTATGTAGAAAATGTTTACCCATACCTTGATTTTCTGTACTTTCCTGTTTTACATCTTCTCCCACTACAAATACAGTATATGTATCATCTACAGTAGAGATTTCTTCTTTAATGGTAACTTTATCTTCTTCCATAATTTCTGCCATTCTCTCTGAAATATGTACATTGTACAATAGTTATGTTTCAAACCTAAATAAATGAATATATTTAGCATGACGGTCTACTTGTTTTTTTTTGTATCAAATAAACGTCAAAACGGCAATACATTTTTTGTGGGACCTCACATGACCCCAGGAAAGGTTTATGGATGCTTAGAATTTGATAAAATCCACGAAATTATTTTGCAATTTTTTTATATTTTTCTATAAACGCTAGAGCCCAGTAATAATTGAAAGTTAAAAAGAATATGAACATGAAGCGCCCTAAAAGCCTAGTCTAATATAGTTAAGTATATATGGGCTGACAATTTTCTTCTCAATTTATTTATTTATAACGATAGGGGCTCCTTTACCCTCTAAGTGACCTTAGAAAAAACGAGCAACCCGACCCACCAGCACCCCCATTAGATAATTATATGTGAGCCTCAGAGTATATAATATAGTAAAGTATATAATATAGTTAAGTATATATGGGCTGCCAATTATCTTTTCAATAAAAGTATAATAACACAGAGACTACAGTACATTTCAGCTATAGATATAGGATGTTCTTTGGAGGACTATCGTGGTCTTATGACCTATCTTTTTAGCTGTAATCTTGTATGTGTAGGTTTTAAAGGACTTAACCAATAAATTTATTGATTAAACAGGAAAAATACAGTCCATAAGGATTAAGGGTATTNCCCACTTCATCAAAATATGTATTTGAATTAGACAATTTCATGGCCGAGCACTGCGGCCAGGGTATTTATATGTATATTTTTTAATGATGGGATCAGGGGCGCACGAGGTGCATGACCCCCCCTGGGAGGCAACCATAGGGGGTCCTCATTTATGAAATGATTTCAAATGGTGGAGGAAAAAAAATAAAATTTACAAATTAAAAGGCAAGTTTTTCATTATTTTAAATATTTTTTACATTGGATACTCAGATTAAGCGATCGGGAATAAGGATATCCCATTCTAAAGTTTTGAGCTCTAAAAGCCCTGTTTAGGAATCTGATCTATGAACCTTTTGATCTAATAGGAATTTGATCTAAGAGTAATCTGAGCTAGGAACTTTAGAATGGTGGATAGCACTTTCTTTTTTTGAGTGTTTTTAAATGACAGGGATATCTCACTCCTTCATGAATAATTATAGTATGTCTCCTAAGACTTCTTGGGTCAGTTGCAGCATATATACACTGGCAAACGCATATATCTTACTCATTTATGTCTAGACTCAATGTGTCTCTTCAGATCACCTTCTCTAGTGGCAGCGTATTCACACTGATCACAGGGATATCTCACTCCATCATGAATACTTTTAATATGCATCTTAAGACTACTGGCTGTAGTGGCAGCGTACTCGCATTGATCACATGGATATCTCACTCCTTCATGTATTTTTTCAATATGTACTTTAAGATTTCTAAGTGTAGTGGCAGCGTATTCACATTGATCACATGGATATCTCACTCCTTCATGTTTAGATTTAATGTGTTTCTTCAGCTCACTTGCTGTAGTTGAAGCGTACTCGCATTGAATGCATGGATATCTTACTCCTTCATGTTTAGATTCAATGTGTATCTTCAGATTACCTGCTTGAGTGGCAGCGTATTCACAATGAGAGCAAGGATATCTTATTCCTTCATGTTTATTTTCAATATGTAACTTCAGACTACCTGGTGTAGTTGCAGCGTACTCACATTGATTGCATGGATATCTTACTCCTTCATGTTTATTTTCAATGTGATTCTTTAAATAGCATACTTCAGTAGCAAGGTACTCACACTGATCGCAGGGATACCTCACTCCTTCATGTTTTTTTTTAATATGTGTCTTCAAATGACTGGATTTAGTTGCCACATAATCACATTCTCCACAGGAATAACGTTTATCTCTTTTATCTCTCAGTTTCCTCCTTTTAATCCTCTTTTGTTCAGGGAAAAGGGGATCTACTTCAATCTTGACAACTTCATCTGGAAATTAAAAAATATAATTAATAAAATATTAATCTCAAGTATCGCAAATTTTAACTTGAATTTTTTTTTAAAAGTGACTGTCCTTGTAATTTCAAGTGACTCTGCATTTAAACTTTGGATCATGTCTGATTCACAACGGCAACCTTGAAACCTTAATCTGATCTAGAATGCGGAAGATAATGTCGTGCTTTATAATTTCTGCATTGTTTCTAAACCAAGAAACGAGCAATTTAGGAGAGAACCCACAAATTTGAATAATCAGTATTTTGAAAATAAAACTTTGAATATCTAACTATTTATTAATCAAAAAAAGCTCTTAAGGTACAATTTTGAATCGGAAATATAATTCTATCAATTGAGAGTTACTTGAAATTACGTCTACACACAGTCCCTTTAATTAGTGAATAAACTATCCTAGTTTTATATAAAAACTTGGTAAATGTTGATTTTAAGTTTTTGATAATATTTCTTCAACCGATTTATTATCCAATCAAATCAATCTGTTAAGGGTTCAAAATTTTAAACTCCACTCTATTAAATTAGGGTTACGTGAAATTATGTCTATACACAGTCCCTTTAATTAGTGAATAAACTATCCCACTAGCTGTTTTTTATTAAATTCATGGTTAGTTTACAAATGCATGGGGGAAAAAATACAAGATTATTGTAAGCAAAAATATAAACAACTATCAATTGTTGGAAGAAACAGGGTGGGGCTAGTTAATAAAAATATACAGGGTGAGTAAAAAAGGACAGGTTAAGACAATTTAGAAAAGAATTTTAAAGAGCAAGTGGGGAGTGGGTGTTCCTACGGTAAAATAGAAAAGTTGGTTGAAAGATGCATTTCCTTTCGTAAAATTTGGAATATTAACTTTTATTTTATGAAAGACGATTTTTTTTTCAATTTGAAAGTGTCAACCAGAAGCCGATTTTAAGAATTTTAGATCTATGAGCCTTAACTTATAAAAAAACATAAAAAATCAATCATTCTTAATTAAAAAAAATCATTAGTTCAAAAATTCATGCATGTAAAAAATTCTTTAAAATACATGATATGGGTATCAAGAGATCTGTATGAAAATACTGAATTCAGAAATTATGAAATTGTTGATAAAAAACTGATTTTTAAGACCATAAATGAAAATTTTGGCCGAATCTAAAAAAAATCTGTATTTTTTGCCGTATATCAGTTTGTACATTTTTTCGGTAATGATTTTTTGGGTTTAAAGGCTTGAACTTCTAAAAAACTTTAAAAATCGACCAATCTTAATAAATATATGTATATATATCTATAAAATGTTTTACAATACCTTGAATTTCTGTACTTTCCTCTTTTACATCTTCTCCCAAAACAAATACAGTACATGTATCCTCTACAGTAGCGATTTTTTCTTTAATGGTATCTTCTTCTATAATTTCGGCCATTCTTTCTGGAATATTTCTAAGCTAAATAGGCTTTGAATTAAATTAAATACAAAGCTAGAACTGCAAACAATGATTTACACTGATTATAGCTTGTATCCAATAAATGTCAAAACGGCTACAACTGTTTGGTGGGACCTCAAATTCCCCATGGAAAGGTTTAGGATGCTTGGGATATTAAAAATGTGTGTTCAAAATTTTTTGATTTTTGAACGAATATTAAAATAAATTTTGAAGTCCGCGAATTTTTTTCCATAGTTTTATATTTAACTAAGAGAAAATGCTCGCCGATAGAGCCACAATTAAAAGTTGAAAAAGAAGATGGGCGTGAAGCGCCCTCAAAGCCTGTAACTCAAAAGTTTACAACTTTCACTCAAAAGTTAATTACTTCCACTAAATAATAATCCTCAACTCTGTTACTCCAAAAAGTTTAACGTTTTTTAACTCTAAAGAGGAAGTACAGAATGTTCTGTAAGAAGAGAATATCAAACTGTTGAGGCTGTGCTAACAGCCTCAAGGATACAGGAGGTCAAACCTCAAAACAAACAGGTCCAATTACTGTTCAGTACAGTGTTCAGGCTCGATCAAACTAGAATCAGCTATGGCACAACTAAATATGGTCTCGCATTTTTGGCCTTCTTGAAGTCATCAATATTCTTATTAATGACGACTCGGCATTTGAAAAACCTCTTTTAGAAGTGTATCAAGCAAATATAAGCTTGGTCGGTGTGTGTCTTCAAATGACATAATTGAGTTGCCACATAATCACATTTTCCACAGGCATAACTTTTATCTCTTTTATCTGTCAGCTTCCTCTTTTTTAGTATCTTTTGTTCAGAGAAAAGAGGATCTTCTTCAATCTTGACAATTTCACCTGAAAAATTCAAAAAGAGAATTAATAAAATAAAATAACCTAAAGTATCTCACATGGTTTAAAATTTTAATAATATCTGAAAATGCAGTCAGTTTTGGTAACCGTTTTTAGAATATGAGCCCAAAGTTCTTAAAAAGTCAAAAATCGATCATCCTAAAAAATACATGTAAAAAATGTTTAAACATACCTTGATTTTCTGTATTTTCCTCTTTTATATCTTCTTCCGCGTCATAGACAGTACATCCTTTACAGTAGAGATTTCTTTATCTTTTCTTTATCTTCTTCCATAATTTCTGCCATTCTCTCTGAAATATGTAAATTGTACAATACATGTTATATTCAAAAGCTTTTAAAAATTCCAAATTTTATTTCCCGCCATTTTTTTTTTAATTTCCCATTTTCTGCTTGAAATAAAAGATAAACAAGGAAAAACCAAAATAAACGAGAGAATAGACAATTTACAGTTTACAGTGCAAAGTACTTATTAATAAATGTTTCTTCTTTTGATGTGTTTTTAAATGACATGATATTTAAACTGTATATCTCACTTCTCAATGTTTATTTATAATATGTGTCTTTATACTACCTGCTGTGGTGGCAGTGAGCTCACGCTGATTAAAATAATATCTCAAACCTTTATTTTTGGATTTTCAAATGCTATACTGCTTGGTAGAGGTAAAATCTCACTGCTAACAAGAGTATTTTACTTCTTCGTGTCTACTTAGAATGTGTCTTTTGAGATTATATGGTTTAGTAGCAAGATAATCACACTGATCGCAGGGATATCTCACTCCTTCATGTTTAGATTTAATGTGTTTCCTTAAATCACCTGCTTGATTGGCAGCATATTCACAATGAGAACATGGATATCTCACTCCTTCATGTTTAGATTCAATATGTCTCTTCAGACATCTTGCTGTAGTGGCAGCGTGATCACATTGGTCGCATGGATATCTCACTCCTTCATGCTTATTTTCAATATGTTTCTTCAGAGATCTTGCTGTAGTGGCAGCGTGATCACATTGGTCGCATGGATATCTCACTCCTTCATGTTTAGATTCAATATGCGTCTTCAGATCACCTGCTCTAGTGGCAACGTGATCACATTGATCGCAGTGATATTGCACTCCTTCATGTTTAGATTCAATATGCGTCTTTAGATCACATGCTCTAGTGGCAACGTGATCACATTGATTGCAGGGATATCGCACTCCTTCATGTTTAGATTTAATGTGTGTCTTCAAATCACCTGCTGTAGTGGCAGTGTATTCACAATGAGAGCAAGGATATCTTACTCCTTCATGTTTAGATTCAATATGCGTCTTCAGATTGCCTGCTCTAGTGGCAACGTGATCACATTGATTGCAGGGATATCTTACTCCTTCATGTTTTATTTCAACATGTTTCTTTAGATAACCTGCTGTAGTTGCAGCATACACGCATTGTAAACATGGATATCTTACTTCTCCATGTTTTATTTCAACATGTCTCTTAAGACTACGTGCTGTAGTTGCAGCATACACGCATTGTAAACATGGATATCTCACTCCTTCATGTATAGACTCAATGTGCTTCTTCAGATCACCCGCTCTAGTGACAACATAATCACATTCTTCACAGGGTTAACTTGTATCTCTTTTTTCTCTGAGTTTCTTCTTTTTCAGTCTCTTTTCTTCAGAGAAAAGGGGATCTACTTCAATCTTGACAACTTCACCTGAAAAATTAAAAAGAGAATCAATAAAATATCAAACACAAGTAAGGCATATTTTCTCTTAAATTTTTTTTTAAATCCTAAAATTAAAGGGACTGTTGTTGTAAATTCAAGTGAGGGGCATGTTTGATTCACAACAGTACCCTTGAAACTTAATCTGATCTTTAATATGGAAGGTAATGGGTGCTATGGAAACACATCAACATGGAAACGTCCCACCACTAAAATGCCTCAAAAACGGACTAATCAATCTAATTTAATACCAAAATAAACAAATTTAAATAATCTTATTTTTTATTTTTTTATTTTTAAATGCTAAGTATCAATTTCCTTAATTTCATTCTTAATATGTATTTGTATATGTATATGAATATGTATATAATGTTCAACCATACCTTGATTTTCTGTAATTTCCTCTTTTACATCTTCTCCCACTACAAATACAGTACATGTGTCCTCTGCAGTAGAGATTTCTTCTTTACGGGTAACTTTATCTTCTTCCATAATTTCTGCCATTCTTTCTGAAATATGTACAGTAAATATGTTGTATGGATAAATGAAGAAACAAAAACTCAAACTGATAAAAAAGACGTAAATGCCAAAAAGATATTGTGGAATGTTAAGGGTCAAGCATTTTAAAAATTAAAACCAAAATGCGGGGAAAGAAGGAGAAAGACTGAGGATAAACCAACTGACTGTAAACCAGGTAAATCATATCAGGTGGATGTGGGTAGAACCAGTCTGGGAGAAAATGGTAAGCTAGACTCTGGGTGACACTGACTGTTTCTACTATGCCCCCCTTCGAGCCTAAAGCACAATTCTCCACATATAACCCCCCCCCCCCCGTCTTGATCTAGATTCAGCGGTGCCCAGACAATCAATGCATAGATTTTTATGAAAAGCAAAAGCAGAGGTGTAAATATTTTTTAGTTTGCTTTAATAGGGGGTTGGGAAATGAAAATGAAAATAGGAAAGAAAATAGAAAGGAAAAAAGGAAAAAAGGGAAAATGAAAGGGGAAAATGGAAAATGAAAGGGGAAAATGGAAAATGAAAAGGGAAAAGCTAAAAAAGGAGGGGATGCCGGAGGGTTTTAAGAGATGAGCCCAAAATTGGAAAAGGAATATGACATCTGCTTAGAAACCACAGGCTAAAATCTGTTAATATCATCATGTAAAATAAAAATGAAAATAGGAATGAAAAAATGGAGTGGGAAAAGGTAAAAAAGGAAGGAAAACTGTGATGCCGGGGGGGTTAAAGAGACAAAATTTATTGATTGGGTTATTACTGTCTTTGACCATCTTATTCATTATCATTTTCTTATTTCTTCCATCTCAGTATTCTACAATATGTCAGAAAAACTCTCAGGGGAATAAAAATCATTTTTCCCTCATAGGGTAGGGGAAAAGGGAAAAAAGCAATGGGAAAAAGAGGAAAGGAAAAAAGGGGGAAATGGAGAAATATTTTTCTGCTACTTTTGGCTCACTCAGGAAACAATGCAAAACCTTTTTGGGGGAAAATATCAAAATTTTTCCCCCAATAACAATTTTGTGTTTCCCCTTTAGAAAGCGAATCTGTTTTATGAAAACAATATAACAGAAATACTTGATATGGGCTTTAAGTATTTCAACTCAGTGAGGACCCTTGTAATTGACCCTTTTAGGGCACCAAAATGTTCATTGTTCGCCCGTTCTCCAAAAAGTTTCTTTGCAAGCAAAGTTCTTCGAAGTTGTGCTGAGTCAACCTATAAAAACACTATTTTTGTGGTTGTAAATTTGAATAAATAATTATTTCAAATGGGGGGGGGGGGGAAGCAAAAAATACGACTCTCAGAACTGACATTTTTATGCTCTTAGTAATACCATAGATAGTAAGAAATTTGTTTAAACTTCCATTTATTGAATACAACATCTCTGGTAATTATATCACAAAAATGGCAGACCAAATTTGGTAAATGTCAGGACTAGGACTATTCTGTGACTATTACTTCATGAAAAAATATTACTAAAGTTGGATCAATTTATATTATTATTCCTGTTTATTTAGAACATCACTGTCTATCAAACTCATTGTTTTCAGTCTTTTCCATTCTATCTAAAAAAAAAATTCACTGCAGACATGATTTATTTGTTCTGCATTTCCAATGACAACAAAATTGTTGTAAACAGTTTGGTCAAAAATATTTATAAAAATATTTTTAAAAAAAAGGTTTATATAGAATTATACAAATATCTTTCCATAAAAGTTTAGCATGATAATTGTTATTTCATAAAATTTAAAAAAAATATTTTTAATTTCTATTTTTTCAAGGATAAAATTTGTCAGAGAAAAAGTTTCCTGAAAAATTTTAAAATGATAAAAATATTACTTAAGAAAATAGAATAATGAGGGGAGCGGGTGAACACAGTTGGGTTTTGATATCAAAAAAATGCAATCAGAGCTGAAAACTTGGATTTCTTTATACAAGCGTCGAGATTAAGAAAAAGTGTGGATCAAGCATTAATCCAGATATCCACCATTCAAAAGTTCACAGCTCAGAAAAAAAGATTAATTCAATAATGAGAGAATTTATCAATAGAAGAGAAGTCATAGTTTACAATGCAAAGCCCTTGTTAATTATCATGTTTTCTTTTTTGGTGAGTTTTATCTGACAGGATTTGGTGGCAACGTATTCACACTGATCGCAGGGATATTTCATTCTTTCATATCAGAATTCTTGCTTTAGTGGCAACATAATCACATTAGTTGCACTTCTTCATGTATAGATTTAATGTGTTTCTTGAGATCACTTGCTCTAGTGCCAGCGTATTCACAATGAGAACATGGATATCTAACTCCTTCATGTTTAGATTTAATGTGTGTCCTCAATATACTTGCGTTAATGGCAAAGTATTCACATTGATCGCAAAGATATCTTACTCCTTCGTGTTTACTTTCATGATGTATCTTCAGATCACCTGGTGTAGTGGCAGCATACTCACATTGCTTGCATGGATATCTTACTCCTTCATGTTTAGATTCAATATGTTTTTTCAGACTTCTTGCTCTAGTGGCAGCGTAATCACATTGATCGCAAGGATATCTTACTCCTTCATGTTTAGTTTTAATATGTCTCCTAAGAGTACTTGGTTCACTTGCAGTATACATACACTGGCTGCACGGAAATCTCACTCCTTCATGTTTATTTTGAATATGTATCTTAAGAACACCTCCTTGAGTAGCAACGTATTCACACTGATTACAGGGATATCTAACTCGTTCATGTTTAATTTCAATGTGTATCTTCAGATTACTTACTGTAGTGGCAGCGTGATCACATTGCTTGCATGGATATCGCACTCCTTCATGTTTAGATGCAACATGTAACTTCAGATTCTGTACACTAGTAGCAACATATTCACACTGATCACAGTGATATCTCACTCCTTCATGTTTAGCTTTAATATGATTCCTTAGAATACTTGGGTCGGTTGCAGCATACATACACTGGCAACACGGATATTTTACTCCTTCATGAATATTTTTAATATGTTTCTTAAGACTTTGTACTTTAGTAGCAAGATATTCACACTGATCACATGGATATCTCACTCCTTCATGTTTACTTCGAATATGTGTCTTTAAATTACTTGACTGAGTTGCCACATAATCACATTTCCCACAAGGATAACTTTTACCGCTTTTATCTCTCAGCTTACTCATTTTAAGTCTTTTTTGATGAGGGAAAAGGGAAACTTCTTCAATCTTGACAACTTCACATGAAAAATTAAAAAAGAGAATAAATAAAATATTAACCTTAAGTATCTAAAATGGTTTAAAATTTTTAAAAATAAATATCTGAAAATACCGTCAATTACGGTTAAAGTTTTTAGATTCAAAAGGCTTTTAGGGCGTTTTCCGCCCATCTTCTATTTCAATTTAAACACTTTCTCTAATCCTACATCGTAAAAAAACTAAAAAGCTTCGCGGATTTCATAAAAAAATTATGGATTATCAAAATTTTATGGAAATTTTGATCATTCATAAACCTTTCACAGGTTCTTGTGAGGCCCCAGGGTTCAGCCGTTTTGCGTTTATTAGATACAAACAGACGAGCAAAGAATATAGATTTATAAGTTCTAAAAAAGTTAAAAATCAATTATCCTAAACAAGTATATGTAAAAAATGTTTACCCATACCACAAGTTTCATCTTTTACATCTTCTTTCGTTACGTTTACAGAACAAGAATCCTCATCAGTGGAGATTTTTTCTTTAATGGAAACATTGCCTTCATCCATAATTTCTGCCATTTCCTCTAAAATATATACATTTAACAAATGAGCACAGAGAATTGAAAATAATATGTAAGTTTTCGAAAACTAATATTTAGGACAATACCACCTAGCCTCCCTAATCCCTCACATCCCAAACTCATTATTATTATGTTTTTAGCGTATATTTTTCAAACAAATTTATATTTTTGTTAATAAAAGATTCCCAAAACAATTTAAACAAAACAAATATAAATTAACAGTCTTGTTTTCCATATATATATACATACATATACATAATTTTACTTGTTTTCCATATACATAATTCTACTTTTTTATGGCATTTCTCTCTGAATTCATGTTTTGACAAAACTAATTCAGAATTAAAATTAAACATTAAAATATGTGTTACAGGAAAGTGTACCTTTCTGGATTGTGTTATTAAACGATGCTATCCCATTTGAACTACTCCCGTTTGAACTATTGTACACTTGAACTATTGTTCGTTTGAACTACTGCACGTGGTACCACATGAATAGTTGAAATGAACAATAGTTCAAAAGAGTTTTTTTAATGCTCATTTGAACTATTTTCAGTTCATTTGAATTATTGTTTATTTGAACTTAATATTATATATGAAATACAAAAAAATAGTTCAAATAAGCATAAAAATATTTCAAATGAACATAAAAATAGTTCATATGGATATAAAAATAGTTGAAATGAACAAAACAATACTTCAAATGGACAAAAAAATAGTTCAAATGAACCTAAAAATAGTTCAAATGGGAAAAAAAATAAATTGTTGAAATGAACAAAAAAATAGTTAAAATGAACAAAAAAATATTGTTTAAATGTAGAACAAAAAAAAATTGTTCAAATGTTCATAAAAATAATTCTAATGGACATAAAAATAATTCAAATGGACATAAAAATAGTTCAAATTTAGACATAAAAATAGAACCTATCAATTTTGTACATGACCATTTTTTTATTTTTCAGCAAATTAGTATTGGTCATGTGGCGCAGCGCTCGGCCCCCTAGCCTGTGCTAGCCGCAGCGCTTGGCCCAGACATGTTGTGGCAGTTCTCGCCCCCCCTGGCCTGTCCTAGCCGCAGCGCTCGGCCCAGAAATGAGCTTAACCTAACCTAGGGTTTCCACGAAATGGCTAAATCTTTTGCGCAAAATTTGCGCAATTTTCGCGCAAATTTTATTTTTGCGAACTTTTGCGCTATTTTTGCGCATGAAACGCAATGAGTTTTGCGCGGTTTTGCGCTATTTATTTTGCGCAATTTGCGCAAAACCGGAAATATTTTTTGCGAAAGTTGCGCATGAAACGAAATTTTAGTTTTGCGCAATTATTTTTGCGCAATTTGCGCAAAA